TCCGGCTACATGTGTTGCTTTCCTAACCCTTATCCTTACCTCATATTAAGCATCGTATTCGATATTTGACTAAGTTATTACCTCATACCAATCAATACTAGCCTATTAGATAGTATACACTAAATCTATGTTAATAATTCTTTTCCTATTATCTACATCCTTGGTCCGGCAAGTAGCATTAAGGCGAGTTCTAACGTTGATCATCCGTTAAAAAGACTTCTAAGCGAAAGAATTATTAATACATGCAAGACACGATTCTAGAATTGTTATTTTAGCTAGGGTTTATCTCATTATTTGCCTATGGTTCCCACAACCCTAGTTATGGAGTTTAGTTCCTCATAGCCATAAACACAATATTCAAATATGGTAAACAAGAATTCATGTACTTACTTCAATGAGAAAGAATAAAGTCCAAAAATTTGCTTGATTAATCACCAAAAATCACTTGGAAGAATCTCTAACAATCAAGCACTCAAAACACAAAGTCTCACAATATAATGTTTAATATCACAGAGTCTGACCTTAAAAATGATGTTTTTCGAACTATTTATAAAAAAATAAAAACCTAATTAAACAAGGATTCTAATTGCTGGAAATCTTCCAAGAACCACGCGACGGACCGTCGTGGACTCCGTCGTCCCATACTTGGTACAATTCTTCTGCTGCTTTCTTCATTCCCCTCGACGGCAAGTGTGACGGACCGTCATAAGCACAACGGTCCGTCGAGGGTCTCGTTTCAAAATACTTCAACTCTTGGAATCTGGGTACTAGGATCACTTCTCTGATCTTCACGACGAACCTGCAGGACAGACCGTCATAGCCATGACGGACCGTCATAATCTTCGTAACCCCACACTTGTCAGACTTCCCCATCTTCCTTCAGCAGCTTCTCTATGCTGCCACCTATGGACCGTCATAAGCTCCGTAGGTGGTCTCTTCTGCAATTTTCGCTCAAAATCTCCGCGTTCAGCTTTGGACAGATTTCCTGCAAAACAAAGAGAAATTTTATTAAACTTAGCACAAACAAGGCTTTCGGACACACTAAACTTAAGGAAAAAGTATTAATTATACCGTGAAACCACGGTATATCAGTGACGGTGGCTAGGCAATTTTCATTCCCATCTTCTTTAGTTTTCTCTTTGTTTTTGTTCTCCCTTTTCAACTTCCTACAGAACTTCTTTGTGTGCCCTTTCATGCCACAATGATAGCACTAAATATCCTAAGTCTGCCTTTAGATTTGCTTCTATTTTGTTCTCTATGCTGAGAACCACGAGTTTTATTTCTCTCCTTGGGGACAGTTATCAGGACATTTGACGAAGAGGAACCTTGAGTTTTTCTTCTCATCTCTTCGTTCAAGACACTACTCATGGCGTAATCCATAGAGGTCACACCATCTGGAGCAGAATTTGACAATGACGTTCTAAATCTTTCCCAAGAATCTAGTAGGGAACAAGTAGAAGCAAGCCTTGAATTTCTTCATCAAATTTGATGCCCATAGCAGATAATTGGTTCATAATCCTCTGAAAATTATTCAGATGGTCTGTCATTGAAGAACCATCATGATACTTCAAACTCAACATCTGCTTTATTAAGAACATTTTGTTGTTTCCAGTCTTTCGAGCATACAAACTTTCAAGATGCTCCCATAGGTTTCGAGCATGTGTTTCCCCAGAAATATGGTTCAACACATTATTGTCGACCCATTGCCTAATGAATCCACAAACCTGTCTATGCAACAAATTCCACTCTTCATCTATTTTATTATCACGCTTTACAGTGGTAAATACTGGTTTATAAAATTCTTAACATAAAGAAGATCTTCCATTTTTCCCTTCCAAATGGCATAATTAATATCATTCAAAGTAACCATTCTACTTGTGTTGGCTTCCATTGTTTTTCCCAAAAAATATAGTTATCGCAAATTAAAGTAAATCTTTTCTGATGTGAAAGTTCAGACTGTGCTGCAACCACAGAGCATACTAAGATAAAACATTGGCTCTGATACCAGTTTGTTGGAAAAACACGGACGAGCACAAAAAAATATATAGTAAAAGTAATGGAAATAAAATGGAAAAATAACGACACCAAGAATTTTATGTGGAAATCCTTCTGAATAAGGGAAAAAACCACTGGCCAAGAGGAGCAATTGATATTATTATAGTAAGGAATTTTATACTGTGTAGTCACGAATACAATACTCAAAGTGACTACTACACACTCAAAAGGAACAACACTTTTTTGGTTTCCGTCTTCCTAAAATATCGCTCACACTCTATTTTTCTTCACAGACTATTTTCTTATATGGTCTATGGAATACCTCACTTTTCTCTCAAAATGGGTTTCTCTCTAACTTGGTGTATTCTACAAATGAGCAAGAATGCCTATTTATAGAAGGATAAAATCATGCCTATGTCACTAATGACATATGTAAATATATCAAAGTCAAGAATGGTTGCAAATCTTACCAATTTGTCAACCACCAAATCTTTTATTTTCAACTCCAATTACTATTCCTTTTTAACAATTGCTTGTACCAATTGAATAGCTAAAGTTGACTAAAAAATGGGATGGATGCAACACTTTCTACTCTCATTCCACCTAAGGTGTAATGTTCTCCTCTTATTCAAAAGTTTACCCGTCTTCATAGGCGGGACATACACTCTTTCTAGGACTCAACATCCTTGTTGAGGTGTTCTCCACCATCCAACTGAGAGAGAGTCCCGATTTAATTCCATGTGGCCTAGGATCAAACTCATACGTTACTTTAACAGATGGAGCTGGGCCGTTACAGATGGTATTAGAGCAGGACTGCCCCTCCTTACAGTGGTGTGGCAAACATCAGTAAGGATGCTAAGTCACAATTGGGCGCATGTGATGCCCATGTTGAAGGACAAACTTCTGAAGAAGAATTGTACATTACACCCAGGCGTAATGGGTGAAGAAAGTTGAGAACTTCATAAGAATGAGTTCAAAATGAATTGTTGAGATGCCATTTGGCTTATGACCCAAGGAAAAATCTGTGCGGGTCTAGCTCCACAGTGGACAATACACTAACAAGTTTGAAGAATCTTTTAGGTCTCTTACTGTGCATAAATTTAATTGCAGTTGCCAATCAGTTGTATATATGATTAGAAGAAGCTTTTAGATGCGCAATCATTTTTATTTTTAGGAGGACATGAGCTTACGAATCATCATCTTCATGTTCATATTTTTGCTATTTTTTCTATTGAAAAGAAACACTAGCAATATAAGATAAGATGAAGTGTTTTTCCTATGACGTTCTGCCTATCTTTTTGTTTGTTGTTTGCAAGAAAACTGAGAAATATGATATGCAGCCTGACTTTACTTTGTAGGGTGTGACTTGGAGTTTCTTGTAATTTTTAATCTTCCAGGTTGGATCTCTCAAGGAAACGATATCTCAGAAAGACAATGAGATTGAGAAACTGCAGCTGATCAAAGATAAAAAATATGCTAATACTGGAGCCGACGGCGAGACAAATAGTACTGATTGAGGTATGGCTCCTCTCCCATATTTTCCTTCTTTTTGAGAATTCCTGATAAAGCCAAAAGTTTTCTGGTAAGTTAAACTACTTAAAAGGAGACTTATGTACCTACTTCCTTGATCCATAGTGATCAATTTAGACTCCGACAGGATACCTATTGCAGCCTGAGTACCGAGAATCAATGCATATATTGTAGAAAAACGGAGTGATATATTAAGTTAGAAATCAACTTGTTTCCCAAGTAAACATTTGTTTGGAAAATATTTTCCTTCGTACCAAACATAGAGGGCCAATTGGACCGTGGACCAGGAGTCCAAATGGGGATGGACCTGATATGGCATCTGGCCTAACTCAACTCCCAAAGCTAGCTCATGAGGGGAGGATTGCCCAAGTCAATATGTGTTTTTGTCCCTTTTCTGATTGTTTTCGAACTTGCATTGTTTTATTACCGTGTTTGTGGGCCTGTGGCCTTGAACTTGAACTAACTGGAGTTCCACAATTGTGCATAATATCCGATGATTGTATTTCAATGGACACATAAACTAATCTCTATGTTGTAAGCTATTTTTGTCCCTGAAGGAGCCAAAAAAAGCAGTGGACATAGATAAGTAAAATCATATCATCTTATTGTGTTTGCAATTAATTATATATATATGCCAGAGAGATTCCTCTTTTTTAATCAAGTACATTATAATACCCACACATTATACATTTCTACACTTTATCGAAACATGATTATCATCTGTAATAATGTAATTAACTACATAGAATCTAGAAAGCGCAAAAAAGTTTGAACTAAACAAATTGGGTAGAGATAAAACTCGGAAATTACATGTTATTGGGAAAAAACTTTATCAATTTATCATCACATTTATGATTAAGATGAATCCCACTTTGATTAGCTTGTATTTTTGAATAGTTTAAATTGATTGACTAGCATATCATATGATCTATTTATGCAGATAACTGAAAAATCTTTGAGGGAGCAGAGACACTTAAGTTCAATTATTATTGATAAGTTTCTTGTATTTTTCTACTAGTGAGTAAAGCTTGTATGAAATTTGTAACATTCAAGTGTTGTATTACTAGTAAATTAGTAACAAAGATATACGGAGAGAATAATGTTGAATAATGTGTATTAGTAATAATGTTAGTATTAGTTATCCAGATATTATAATTTATGTATTGTTTGATTTGTTGTATTGAAAATAACTTGCATTGAATGATTTTTTTTTAAAAAAATATTTTTTAACAAAAATATTCTCTATAAAATACGGTGGAAAGAAAGTATAAATGGTTTCTAGGAACAATTGTATCTTTAACCATGCTAATACAGACATTGAATGCCTTACAATATAAACACTATTGATTTTCATGTAGTGACTATGCATATTTTAATATCAAATAAAGTATATAATCAACGCAAGCTAGTTTAAAATTATATAAAATAAAATACTAATAATACAAAAAAAAAGTAATGCCATCAGTTTTAAAATACTGAGTTAGTCAAAACATTCTATATATAATATAAAGCTTGGAAAATGCACAAGTATTCCCTTAGACTATGATCGAAATTTGTGAGACAAACCTTAACTAAACTAAAGCTCGGTCTTATTACCCCAAAATTCATTTTCTTTTTTAATTTTGTGCACCTTTTGTCTTACGTGGCACACTTTGTGACTCCACGCAATTGAGGCGCATGAGAGATGTTTGAATGTCATGTAGGCCAAAAGGTGCATGCAATTACAAAAAAAAAAAATCAGGGCGCCCCCCCAATCTATATTCGAATTCCCAACTTCACACTCATACTTTACGGGGGTCCTATCACCTCCCTGAATTTTATAAAACTGAAATTATTACCTCCTCGAACGCTTAGCTGACAAATTGAGTGTATCTCACTCTCTTTGAGAGAGTGAGCAAAAAAATTTAATATTAACACTTTATTTTAATAACTATTTTTAAGAATATATGTTTTTTTAGAAATTTATTTATTGTCTTCTTCTCCATAACAATAAAGATCAAATTCCTCCACCATTCACCATCTCTAAACCATCATTGCCACCATCATTTTCACCGGATTCACCATGATTGCTTTCGCACGAGCTTTAAAATTCTGAAGTAAGAAATTTTTATAAACCATTCAAATCAATTAAAAGTAAAATGAGATCTATTTATATCACCTAAAAATGAGATTGGATCATATTTGGAAAAAAAATCAATTTAGGTTTACATCAAACCCAATTGAACTCTCAAATAAGATTTCTTTCTTATTTTATAGATATTTTAATTATCAATCTCAAATCTCAAGCAACCAATTAGAAGTTTCTTCCTCATTTTTTCGGAGAGGATCTGCACTTGTTGTTCCTCTCTATTTCGCTACCCTCACTTTTTTAGTTTTCTTCTCTCCATTGCTACCAGTGAAAAGCTATCATTGTTGCTTCCTCTGACGAAACATCACCATTGTGGTTGCCTCCGATGAAACGCCATCATTGTCACTGCCTCCGACGAAACGCCACTACTGCCTCCGATACGCAACCATTGTCGTTGCCTCTGGCGAAACTCAAAATATCAGCAAAAACCTTCTCACACCTCCTCTCATCTCTCTCTTGTTCCTCATAATCTAATTTAATGGACTTTGGTGTTTAAAGTAATGGTGAAGTTACTTTAGAAATTTGAAGGAATTGAGAAAAAAATTGTTTTAGGATTTGAAGAAATTGGAAGAGTATAGGAAAAAGAGAAAGGAATTATACTATTTCAGTTTTAGACAGTTCAGAGGGGTGATAAGACTCCCGTAAAATTAAGATGTGTAGTTGGAAATTCGGTTATAGATTGGGGGGCTTTTGTCCATTTTCTCCGTGATAAAATCTTAATATAGTTAAGGTGTGTTTCTGAGATTTCAATCATAATCCGTGGAATAATTGTGCCTTTCCCTATAAAGTTAGATAAAGAAAAATGACGTGACATTTCGCTTTAGCCAAAGAACCTATTTATCTTTTTTTCCCTCACCTTTGAGAATTTTTATTATTTATTTATTTATTTATTATTATTGTACAAAAATAAATGTGTCAATTACTACTCAATTTATTCATATCCTTTAATATAAAAACTTGATTGTCTTTATTTCCTTTACTCTCATGAATTTTGATCATCATAACTCTCTATTCATATTAATAGTCGTGTTCATGATATTTTTCGATATTTCGTATTATATCCTATAAATAAAGGCATTAGAAAATTTTGTTATAAAAAATGATAAATTTATGTGTTGTAGAGCTATGGATTAACTAGGTGAAGTCTACTTATCTTTTTTTGCCAAGAATCGCAATTTTTTATAGCTTTATAAAATAGAATTTTACAGCTTATATTGCTTTAAGATTTTACTCATATGAAATTTGATTATTCTATTTCATGTAGTTTTTATCTTCTCTTTGATATATGGTAAACGGATCGAATTTCATTCTAACATGCTCCCGTAAAGTTAATGGGGGCAATGTATAATTATTTTTCTTTCTTTTTATTTACATGTAAATCATTATTAGTTGAATTTTATTGTAAGAACTTGACAATAGTTTCATGGTAAGCAAATTTTATATAAAGTGCTCAATTTTAAATTGTCACTTATTATGTCGATGTTGTGATTTGACTTACAAGAATAAGATCAAAGTTATTGAATGATGATTGTGGCTTCTGACTCAAAAATATTGTATATTCATTTTTATTTTTTTTGAATATTTTAATGATTAAGATAGTAAGAATGATGTATTTTATATATATATATATATATATATATATATATATATATATATATATATATATATATATATATATTCAGACATACGCCTAAACTGAACTATAGTTTTATTACTCCCAAAGCTAATTTAAAATGAAGTATATATATATTCAGACATACGCCTAAACTGAACTATAGTTTTATTACCCCCAAAGCTAATTTAAAATGAAGTAAATACACCACAAACACTAACTATCATAGAGAGTATGCACACTCTCTTGAAGTGATGAGTGCACAAATTAGACACATGTCATTTTTAATTGACAACTTTATAATTAGTTAGTACACATATTTATGTATAATAAAACTTATCTATATTTAATTGTTATTATCTTTTCACTTTTAATTATTTTTAATAAATTGTGTGTATTGAAAAAAATAAATCTAAAAGTGTCCTTTACATTTAATGTTTTAGTATGTCTATGTTTTATTTGATTTTCTTCACTTCTTTCCATATCCATTAAGAATTACCTTATTTCAAATATAACACATTTGAAATCAAATCAAAATAAAAGACAAAGAAAATAAAATCAATATAAGATAAAAGAGAAAAAATGAATTTCAGTAAAAAAAAAATATTTTCAATACAAGGTAAAAATGTGTATTAACTTAATTTAAATACAAGATAAAAAATAGGATTTTTAAAAAAAATATTATTTCTATAAAAAATTATGAAATATTTCTAAAAAAATTAAGAATATTATTTAACTTTTTAAAAATATATATTTACACACATGGCGGGGAAGTGTGTGCACAAAATCAACTTCGGTGGTTGAAGGTATCACATCATCATAAAAAGGAGCACAAAAATACGAATAAAATAAATTAATGGGAGTATTAAATTTTTTATTAAATTTAAGTGTGTCATTTGAATTTCGATAATAGATTATGGGTAACTTATGCATTATCAAACAAAAAAATCCCCCTTCACGGTAAACAAGGAGGAGGTTATATAGAAAGGGGAAATTGGGATTAGATATTTGAGGGGAAAAGGGCAAACTCAAAATTCCGAATTGATTCTCAATTTGAATTTTTTCCCTCCCAGGACAAGGCAAGCTGGATTGTGCTGGAAATCAACCCCAAATCCCTTAAATCGGGAGGATGCAGGGATCGGATGTCTCAGATTCATTCGCTCATCCTTGAGGTTCAACGTGACTTAATCTTGAAGCTGCAAGGATGCTTCTCCAGCCTGTCATCGCTGAGCCTTTTACTGCATAGCACAGTGTTCAGATTTGGAAAGAGACATTGGGACAAAGAGCAGAGAACCAACACTCAGTCGAGCGTTGAGGTCGCTCACGCGACTGCTCTGGCATTTTCTGCCTGTTTGTGCGTGAAAAGAAGGATAGAAATCGGGGGTCGTCTGGTACACGCCCTGTTGTTGTCGTCATCGTGAAGGACGCTGTGTGTTGGGTCGAACAGTTGGGCTAGGTCCGCGGGGTTATTTAAAAATGGGCTGGATGACTGAATACAAAAAAGGATTAATTACCTGAATATACAACTTAAGTTTACATATTCTCCATATTTCCCTTATTTTTTTAAAAAATACTAAAATTCCTATTTTTTAATAAGTCTAATTTAACAGATACATTATTAAATTAGAATCCTAATAAATCCTAACCAATTATATCTTATCCCTAATTTTACTCTTTATTTTCCCCAAATAAAGAACCCATTTACACCACTCCCAAAATTAATGCGTCAATTTCTCAACGGTTCATCTTCTCAATTTTGAAAATCAAAATTTGTGCTCTCCATCCGTCAGCCTTCGTCTAATCTGTCTGCCATTTTTGTCTACTTTGTCAGCCTTTGAAAATTAAAATTGTGCTCTCCGTCCGTCCATCTTCG